TAAAGTTTCAAGAAAAAAGAAACTTAACCTTTTGGTGTCGTCATCATTCATTTTATTATTCAATTCATTTACCATTCACTAGATGTTAATGAACTGTATGATGAATAGACAAGAAACGATATATCTAATGCTTCTACCATATGGAAAAACTTCTCGATAAAACACATCAACAGTATTTTTATTATAATCAATGAAACAAAAAAAAAAGAAGCAGTGTTCTTATGAATTCGTTTGATGTGCTAAGTATGTAAAAAGGACTGCAATAATCATCTATACTCACTTACCTGATGTTGTTAACAAAAAAAAAAGAAAAAGAATCAATGTTCAAACACGAAAGATTTTCTCTTTTAAAGATTACATCGTCTTGTCAATCAATCGTTTCTCCTAAGGAAAGTCAGATTTGGTTTACATGCGATTTTTAGGATTGATAAAAATTAAGAAAACCTATTGAATGTGAGACTAATAAATTCTTCTGTATTCTTTTCAAATAATTCAAATTAAACTTACGTTTAAGACTACATCGTACAGTAACAGATGTTGATTTACCATTTTCTTTAAAATAACGAAAACGTATTTTTCTCATTTTTTGTTTCGTTTTTTTTTATGAAACTATTTGTTAGATGATCGTTTCAAGGTAATAATATGAAAGAGATATTCAATCTATTTGTGAGCGAACGGAAAAGTGAAGATTAAATAATATCTACCAATACATAAACGCGAAGAGAAGAGAAAAAGAAAAAAAAAAACGAATTTTTTTTTCGCTTTCGCTCAATTCTGTTCCAGTAGACAGACGCGATATGATGATGAGTTTTTTTCTCCGTACGAATGAACATGATACCTCATACTGCGAGAAACGAAAAATCAACAATTGACTTTATCAAGAGAGAGAGAGAGAAGCAACGTTCTCAGGTGACCACTTTATTTAAAAACAACGGCATAAAATTCATTTCCGTATTATATACAAGATGAACTTCTTAAATACGCACGAACACCTACCGAATAGTCGATGATGATCATGCATGAACATTGGATTTTGTTCAATTGTGGATTGTAATGTTGTGAACTTGAAGAAGAAACAAAAAAAAAAGATGTGAGAAGATCAAACAAATAATTCAATAAATAATTTCGTAATCAAATTTTTGTGAGATAATGAAAGAATCATTGATGAAAATGAAACCAATATGTTCAGTCTCGACACGTTAGTATTTTATCCAGCATGGGGGCTGAGTCCCTGTGAGGATCAAGTTCGCCCTTCAGAAGAGAAAAATCTAGATACAACATTATTTGACATGATAGGTTTGGTTGCAAAAAAGAACATAAACCTTGATGAATAATCACAATAAATTCTTTTGAAAAACTTCATAGAAAGATAAACGTCATAATCATTCGATATTCAAGATCTAATTTTATTCTTAGAAAAAGTTTTTAATTGAAATTCTTTTTTTTATTTTATTTATACATTTGCAGGGGTGTTTGAAAAACTTGGATGACTGAGGAGGCCTATTGGTAGATTTTTGCTAAAGATGACCGAGTTTTGGAGAACGGGATTGAACGAATTTTTTGGAAATTGATGAGCAAAACATATACAACAAAGCGCTTGAACTATGGTAAAGAAAAGCGAAAATTTTTCAAGATTAGAAAGGCCATTCCCGTACATTCGAAAAATATCGTTATATTTTGAAATTTTTTAGAATAATCTACAAGTACGAATATGAGATGATGTCAACGAAAAAAAAAAAGCAAAATGTTCTATAAATCGTTTCAATTCGTTTTGTTATTCTAAACTTTAAACAGTGTTTTATCTAGCTTGGGGGTTGAACGAGCGACACTCCTTCGCGGATCGGATTGATCCTCTCGGGCTTGTAGCGCATACCATGTGTCTATACTCAGAAAAATAAGTATTCGTCGCTCCAGAAGAGAAAATCTGAATAAAACACTGACTTTGAATAATCAAACTAAATTCTAAACATCAGACATAGATGGGGCTGTCTCACACCTATGTAGTATTGTGCCATCTTATGGTTTGATTTGTACTGTCAAAACACCGAAGAATCGTTTTTGCGCTTTCGAAACATGTTCATTGAGCAAGAGAAAAAAAAGAGGCGTGCAAAGTGCGTAAGCTTAAGCAAAAGCATGGGGTAGCCCTTATTTAGCTCTGCTAAACACGTATTTTTATCTGTATTTATATTATGTCCTATCTAAGTTTTAATTCTATTTCTAAACTTTATTTCATAAATATAAAGTGTATAGATTAACAGCACTAGAAACATAAAGCATTACTTATTCATTACCTTAGAACTATTCAATATCCTGAAAATAAGAATATTTTCTTGTTTTTTATTTTTAAGAACATACGAAACAAACAAACAAACCTCTGATGATATTTGATAATCATCAAAATTATTTTTTACTATCCATGTTAAAGGTATTCGTATAGTGGTTGGTGCTAAACAATCATAACCAATATGAATAAAATGATTTTCATCATATAAAATATCATGAAATGGTAGATAAATAAAATCATGAGAATTATATTTTTGATAAAGTTTATTTTCAAATAATTTTGGTTGAAATAAAATTAATATTTGTTTTTCTAATAGAATACCATAAAATGGTTTTATTGATTGAATAAATGACCAATGTGGAATATCATATAATATTGATTGATAATTATTATATAGAGAATTATTTAATCTTATTTGTAAAATAAGATCAATTTGAATAATATCAAATAGAAAAAAAGATTTTTGAATTAATTCAATAGAATTTTCATGTTTTTTTTTATATCCAAATGTTCCAAATAGTAAAGAATAATTTGTTGATGGCAAATTTTTATGTTTAAATATTGAATAATTAAGAAGACGTGAACGACGTTTTGTTGATTCTTTAGCTTTAAATGATCGTTCATGAACACTATGATTTAATGATAATAATTGTCGACGTTTTAATGGTAAAAGAAATGATGAAACACGTTTAATTTTATTAAATGATGATATAGAATTTAATTTCGGTGAATTATTATTATTTTCATTAATTGTTTTTTGAAAAAATAAACATGTTTCTTGTTCAGGTTTTGATGGTGAAAGTAATATAAAACATGATGATGGACGATTTATTGATGTTGATAATATATCATGTTTTGTAAATGAACGGCGTGTTGATTTAGTTTGTTGATCATTTGAATTTGTAGATGTTGAACGTATGAAAGAATTTGTTGTACGAATATTTCGACTAAATTTTGTTAATGTTTGAAATATATTTGATAAATGAAATGTTGTACGATGATGTTGAGATGATTTTTCAATTGATGGAGAATATTTTGAATTACGAAGTATTGGAATATTAAAAGAATTTGATGTTTTAGGAGAATTTATAAGTGATGACATTTGTTTTTTTAATTTAAGAATATATCATCGTTGCTTGAGGAAGTCTAAAACAGGAAGTGAACATCTATTTTTTACTATGTATAAATGCACTGTACATGCTACAACTCCGGGGACGACATGGATAATAACAAATCTCTCGGTGATCTTTCGTCGTAAGTGTTAGCATCAGAGATGGGATCGGTTCGCGTTCCTTTGGAACCGAACAGAGTCCAAAATTACAGACAAGTTAACAAATTTATTAGAGTATCAGGATAAGGTTGGATCAGTTCGTGTTTTTTCGAAATTGAACCGATCTACTTTTTTTTTAAAAGTTCAAGCCGAAATTGGCTTAGTCTGAAATCGAACTAGTCCCATCTGTAGTCAGCACTAAGATTATATCGCTTATATCAGATTTTTCTTTTCCTCATAATAAGTTTTTTTTTAAAGTAAAGGCTTTGATTTTAAAGCCTTATTAGAAAGGTTGTGTGTGACCGAGTGAAAAAAAAAGCAATGTTTTTCAAACGTTTAGTACTCAAGCAATAGGCAGTAGATCCACTGCTTTATTTAATTCTGATCTTGAGAAAGGACAATACAGGAAAGTGTAGGATCGAACGTATACCGTCGAGTAAATGAGTCTAGTTTTAGAAAGGAAGCATCGTCCTTTCGATTTTCATATGAGATTAAAAATCAAAGTATATATAATGATGTATCTACTAAACAGGATTTATATGTATGGTTAAAAATCCCAATGAAGATAACTGTATAATCAATGTTGGAAAAACTTCTACAATAAATGGATAAGAAGATTAAGTGAAGAACATATGATTTTGAATAAACTTATAAGAAGCACTGATACAATTGAAAGATATTTTTCTCTAATAGAAAACGAAAGACATTTACGATAAGTATTTTTTTTGTTGTTCGATCTATGATCATTCTTGAAATAATGTTTTTTCGACGGGCATACTTGGTTAAATTTCCATACAAACAACAATGTTTATTTGTATTGAGAAACATAAGCATAAATTCTATTATTCAATGATGTTTTCTTTTAAGATTAAACTCGTTCTATTAATCTAATCAAAGAAAACTATATTTCTAAATTTAATTTGATTTAAATACCTAGAGCAACGATTATACAAAGGTACGATCCAGGTGCAATGAGTAAATTTAATTGGCTATAAAAAAACATTAAAATACCAATAAAAACATTAAAAAATAATTTTATATTTAAAAAAAATTTTCTTTTACTTTTTTTTTTATGAATTAATGTTTTTATTCAGATGTCACTACAATCTCAAGAAAATACAAACAATCTTAACGCTATCTATATTATCATCAACTGACTAGTTTTTTTGTTGTTCTGCGTACACATATTGAATTATGAGGTTAGATTAGATACAATAATATTCGAATAAATATGAGTCGTTATAAACATTTTAGCGATGAACTTAGTACAGCTGATATTAATGAAACAGATGTTTTACCTGAACTTGATGTTGATGAACCACATGAATTAGAATTTAAACTTCAACTTCGTAATTATGCATCGAATACAATTCCGACAACAAATAAACTTAATTTAAATCGTTTAAAAATTTGTCTTTCGAGACGAACACGTCTTGAACGTTATTTACTTATAATCAATCTAATACTTTTATGTTCGATATTGTTAATTTTTCTAATATATTATTGTCGTCATCAAGATAAAAATCAACCGGAACAATTATGTTTAACGCCTATATGTGTTCAAGTATCATCATCAATTTATTCGGGAATGAATCAAACAATAAATCCATGTGATGATTTTCATGAGTTTGTATGTGGTCGTTGGATAAAAACAAATATTATTCCAAAAGGTCATTCAGGATGGTCAACAACAAAAGAATTAAGTCGAAAAAATCTTATTATACTTAAAAGTATTCTTGAACAAAAATTACCAAATAATTCATTAACAGTATTTAATGCTGAATATGAAGCTATAAAATTTTATCAATCATGTATGAATATAAGTGAAATTGAACGACAACAAATTCAACCATTAGAAATATTTTTAAAAGAAAATTTTAATTTAACAATAAATGAATGGATGAATATTGATAAAAATGGAACTTGGCAAAATTTATTTATATTTTTAACAAAAGTACTTTCAACAAAATATGGCTTTTCATATTTATTACCTATTGCAATTGGACCAGACGATAAGAATTCAACATGGAATGTAATTCATGTAAGTGGAATGTGTTGGAAAATTCTTTTAAGTATTTTTTGTATTTGATGAAAAGATTAATCAACCTCAACTTGGCCTTGATAGTCGAGACTATTATGTAAATTCATCTGCTAATAATCGAAGTGATCCAGATACAGATGCAAGAAATAAAATTGTAAATATATAAAATTTGTTTTTTTTTTTAATAAAATTTAATTTATTAAATTATTCTTAAGATTCGAGATACATACATAAATGTTGCTTCATCATTATTACAATTACTTGGATTTGAAAAAAATGAATCGATGAAACGTATTAATGATATTATTCAATTTGAAATTGAACTTGCAACAATTAGCTGTAAGCTATTTATCTATAGAAAGAAATTAAATCACTTTTTTTGAAGATGTATTATAAGAATAATCGATAGGCATAAATGTTAGTTTGATTAAATCGAAGTATGAAAACAATCAGAGTACGACTAATGATATTTAAGTAGACTTTTTCAAATATCAAATTTGAAACTCATTACCAGTGTTCTATACAGCGTAGGGATGGCGTCCCTTCGAGTAGACTATATTGGCCATTGCAAACTTGTACCATGTACTATGTGCTGATACTCTCAAAAATATGTGTTCGTCTTCCCAGCGTTTTAAAATCACTCCTCAAAAAGAAAAAGTCGAGATAAAATACTGCTCATCACATAGTGTTGGAGAATGGTTACGTAAGTTTCGGCTCGAAGTCAAAATCCTCTTATTAAGCTCTTTAAAAACTAGAATTTCTATCAAAAATTTGGTACATTCCATAGTGCTTAGCGGTATGCATTTTCAATAAGCCGCAATGCTCAGCAGGTCATCTAGTGCTGAGTTGCCTGTTTTGACCCTACTAGAAGTTGTGAAGAATAATATATTCGATGTGTCGTACCAGAAAAATCTAGGACGAAAGAAAGATCAAATAACATTTTGATGCATGAATGTTGCAATAACAAAAAGAAAAGGGATAGACTTAAACATACTCAACTATAATATGATCTTACTTCATACTGTTTGACACAATATCATCTTGGTGAACGGAGCCCTAGAAATGTAATTTGATCTAAATGCGTGTTGCTGATAAGTACGTTTTAATGTAAATGAATGCTGCTAAGCACCATGGAGTGTATCAAACGTATTCATAGCAATAAAGCGTTTTATGAGGATTAGTGAGAGGAATTTGAGCTCGGTACAGTGGACAATTTCTATCGAGCATGTGAACATGACTTATTTTTTGTCAAAAGCGAATTGTTTTCATAGAAATATGAGCTTCTTGTACTCAAATATAAGATTAATGAAAAAAGACCACTTGCCATGAAAATTTCTGAAAAGATACTTACCCTAAACTTCTGTAAAAAAATTTTTTATTTTAAAAATTGACAAATGAAACGTCACTTTATGCAGTTCTTCACGTTAATTCTAAATCTTTCTTTAAGTTTCTCTCAAAATGCTACTGTAACAAACAAATTGTGAAAAACCTTTAAAAACTAAGGTTCTTAGAAAACCTGTATCTCAGTCCAGAAACATTTGCTTATCTTTACACTAACTGAGGGTGTATCCGAGATATAGGAGAACATTCTCGAAAAGTTTCATTGATATCGGATTAGTGGAAAAAAATGGCGACTAACTTTATTGAAAGTATTTTTTTTTTCGGAAACGTTCACGAGAGAACTATTTCAAGTGACACTCGCCGTTTGAACTCATGTTAGACCCACACGCAGGTCTCAATGGAACTAACAAAAGCCTAAGAGGCTTCGGTACTGAGTTATGACCGATTTACTGGATTTTTGATCTAAAATTTTGCCTACAGATATGTCTAATAACTTTTGGAATATCCTGAAAGTTTTAACCGAAAAGAAGGTTCCTTTATTGAGTTATATTAAATTTTCAAGTGAACTCGATTTTTGTGGCAAAGGGCTATTTTTGAAAATTCAATATCTTGACGAAGGAATATTCTTTTCAACGGAAACTTGCAGAATATTCTAAGAGTCATTAGACCTATCTATAGGTAAAATTTTGGATCAAAACTCCGTCATTCAGTCTTCTGGAGAGTACGTAAAAATGGGTAAAAATTCAGTAAATAGGCCATAACTCGACGCTGAAAGTCAATGCAAATGAGTCCTTCTAGGCTTTTACTAGTCTTATTGAGATCTGCATGTGAATCTAATACTTTTCAGAGCAAAAACTTTCCTTAGAAATCGATAGAGTAGAAGTCCTAGTGTTGTCCAACTGTTTTTATTTTTCACAAAAATTTATGTTTTTCTCTAAAGGTGCTCAAATTTGACCTTTTTTTTGTGACTAAGTTTTTCCAATGAATTTATCAGCTGAAACAAAATTTTTTTTACCAAAAAAAAAACTGGTCGTTAATCAAAGTGTATAAATTATTATTTAAATCTTGAAAAAGCTCACTTTCATTTTTCTCCCTAGTGTTCATATTATTGTAAAATTTTTTTTTTTTCTTCTTTTCTTTTTGAAGTACCAATGGAAGTATTACAAAAACCAAATGAAACGTATTATTTAATGGCATTAAAAGAAATTCAAAAACAATATCAATCAATAGGATTAGATATTCGTTCATTACTTAATAATATGTTAAATCTCAATGCATCAAATCCAATAAATTTAAATGAAAATGATCAAGTAATTGTTTTATCACTTGATCTTATGTCTAACTTATCAACAATATTAACAGATTATTTATTAACACCTAATAAAAGTTATATTGTTATTGATCATTTATTATTTTCGCTTGTATTTGATTTAAGTTCACATTTATCAAC